GGCCTCTCCAGCGAGAATGCGGCCTTCGTCCGGTACCCAGCCCGAGCCGTCCAATCAGGAAGCCGGGCGTCGTCTAATGACGCGACGCCCTGCTTTCTGATTGGCCGGGAAGCTGGCTTCATGCTCCCTCGTCATCTCATGACAAGAGAGCATGGAGCCGGCCTCCCGACCAATCAGTAAGCAGGGCGTCGTCCAGTCATTACACGGCGCCCGGCTTCCTGATTGGCCGGCTAGACGGCTCCGGCTGGGTAGCGGACGAAGACCGCGTTCTCGCTGGAGAGGCCCCGGGGGATGACAGGCTGCACATACGAAAGTAAGAGGGGACTTTTTTGTTAATCGGGAAGCTGGGTGGCGACTCTTTACACGCCACCTGGCTTCCTGAATGGGACTTCCGTTACTCGGTAATTGGTATCGGCGAGTACCGGGAAAAAATTATCGGTACTCGGTACCAAAATACTGGTATCGGTGTATCCCTAGCTGTAACTATTCTAAACCTTGTGACATTCACTGCCACGTTAGACAGGAAGGTAACAGAGTTAAAAATGTGGTTGCCCTCAAAGAGGCCAGGATTTTTAGTTCTTCCTAGACCAGCTTCACACATTACAAATCCCTTTGCAGTTCCCATATATGAGGCTGTACATTTAGCTGCTGTCCTACAGTTAGGCTTTAATGTGTTTCTGATACAGATTTAGAGACGGGTCAGTCATGTTCCAGGGAGCAGAGATGAAATTCTGTATAGAAATTGTAGTTTCAGAAGACAAAGGCTTGAAGAAGCCACATGGTATAGGTGCTGGTTCCATTGCTGTCATCCCTGGTCCTTGTGCATTAAGTGAGTCAATGCCCTGGAACATGTGCGAGGAAGAGAGCTCAGACTAATGACAAATCACTGTAACTTACACTATATGGCCAAAAGTATGTGGGCCCCTAACCATCTCATCTATATGAGCTTGCTGGACATCCTATTCCAAACCATGGCCATTAATATGGAGTTGCCAAATCCTGTACCCAACCCCTCCCCGTCACTTCCTTGCAGCTCCAATCTTCTAGTAGCCCTCATCAACTCTGCCTCTTACCAGGTACCCGACAATCCTATTCCAAAATCCTGGCCATTAATACAAAGTTGGCTCCCCATTTGGGACTATAACAGACTTCACACTTCTGGTTGTTCCAATTCATCCCACAGGTGTTCAGTAGGGTTGATGTCAGGACTGTGCTCAGACCACACGTGCCCTTCCACTCCTCAAAGCATGTCTTTATGGAGCTGAATTTGTACACAGGGCACCGTAATGCTGGGACAGAGAAGGACCTTCATCAAACTTACCACAATGTTGGAGGAGCACAATTGTCTAAAATGTCTTTGTATGATGAAGTATTGACAGAACCCTTCACTGGAAACACCTGAACTTGTCCACCAACTCTTGGCCATGTAGGTAGGTGGGATGGTCAGGTGTCGGCCAACTCTTGGCCATATGGGTAGGTGTGATGGTCAGGTGTCAGCCAACTCTTGGCCATATGGGTAGGTGTGATGGTCAGGTGTCTGCCAACTCTTGGCCATGTAGGTAGGTGTGATGGTCAGGTGTCGGCCAACTCTTGGCCATATGGGTAGGTGTGATGGTCAGGTGTCGGCCAACTCTTGGCCATGTAGGTAGGTGTGATGGTCAGGTGTCGGCCAACTCTTGGCCATGTAGGTAGGGGTGATGGTCAGGTGTCGGCCAACTCTTGGCCATATGGGTAGGTGTGATGGTCAGGTGTCGGCCAACTCTTGGCCATATGGGTAGGTGTGATGGTCAGGTGTCGGCCAACTCTTGGCCATATGGGTAGGTGTGATGGTCAGGTGTCGGCCAATTGTTGACCATCTAGTGTAGCTGAGGGACTTCCTGTATTTCTATTTATTTACAGATTCCCTTCATAGCGGCAGATTTCTGGTAGTGTTCATTATGGAGAGGTTGCTGATCTTATGTGTCATGGGACTATGCCTGGGAATCCATTTCTTCCAACTCTAATGGACCTGCTTCTCTTTCCTTCTTCCAGACAACTACTACTTCAAGCCCATTGCAAGCAGATAAAAGAGGTGTCGTCCCTGTGCTGCCAGGAGGAGGCGCTGCTGAGCTGTGTTTCTACCTCTGTAAGTGCATTGCAGGGGGTTTGTATTTTTAAAGGGGACCTGTCACAAAAACAGCATGGAGACATATTTCAGAGGGAAAGGATGCCGTCAGTGGACTACCAATGTTGAGCAGCAAATATTACAGCTCTGCCAAAGTCAGACATCCCAGCACTTCACCTTTGTTGGTACTGCATTACAGGAGAAAGGGCCATGACTTCTCACTTGCTGTGTACGTCTGACCCTTCCCCTCCCCCCCTTTTGGCTCTAAGCTTAAGAAGTGCCATAGAGCATGGTAATGCAGAACTCGCAGCCCATTCAAAGATGTAATTAAAAAGAACAATCACCATTAATACAGAGCTGTTCCCATTAGTTCCTCTTTTCTGCCACTAGAGGTCCTCAGCCTTCCAGGTTGAATGACAGCCAGGATCATTCAACCTGCTCCCTTTGACCCCAGGCTGTCATGAACCCGCCCCAGCAGTGTGATGAGCTCACCTCTCTGCTCTCTTCTTCTCTCAATTTTTATATCTGCCTGGAGTTAGCAGTATATTAAAATAGAGAAATGATCACATTGCAACAATGACGTATATGTAATATAATTCTTTTGCAGGATTTTCTGGACTATGTGAAGAAGTTGGAGGAGATTCTGCTGCAGAAGTCCAAACACATCGAGAACCTCAGAGCCCAATTACAGGCGTTCCTGGATCTCCCCCCCACAGAGCCGTCCTCGCCCCTGGACCTCCATGAGCAGGATGAGGCCGAGCGCCTCGGCGTCTCATAATGTGCAATAAACTGACATCCCAAAAGGCCTTCCTAGAACTCGGCTGCCTCATCTTCAGCGAAAAGCAACCCCTTCCATTTTTACTTTTGGAGTGCAGCCCCCCTGGCGAAGAAGCGATTCATTGGGTGGCTGTAACCGAGAGCGATATGATGTCATATGACTGGCGATTTCATAATCCTGATCAAACAGTATGGTGTGTTTTCGGGTGACCTGTCCCATTAGTTGGTCTAACACAGGCAGAACATGGCAAGTCGGCTGTGTGGTCTGATTGATTTTGTGTATTACTGTCAATGCCTTTTTCATGCCGGGGGGGGCGGGCGGCATGAAAATACTGCTGGAGTGATTGAAGAGCTCCCCTCCTTAAAGCTGAACTCCTGTGTTGTCACAGGCTGACTATGGAACCGCAGGCACGCCATGCATTGGAGCAGCATTCTGTAGGTCCCGCGGTTAGGTGCAAGGACCCGACCTGAAAATGCCGACACAGTTCTCCTGCCATGGTCAGAAAAGAACAGGAAGGCATGGGTTGTGGAGGGCACTGGCAAGATCATCCGGGGTTTCACACATACATTACCCTCTTGCCAACCTCATGCTGGTGAAAGGTGGGCTTTCAGGCCAGGCTGTTGTATATAAGTGTCCATTGATCTGTGCTTTGCACTTGCAGCACTGTAACTGACCGCGGTCACTGTTCAGAAATGGGAGCCTAGGGGGAAGCGCTACTAATCATGTGATCAGTGACATAGGTGATCACATGATTGGGAAAGCAACCCCGACTCCTGGTGTTGCATACCAGTTAAATTGCAAGCTTTTAATTAACCCCTTTTATCTAATGTGAGGGGTACGGAGATCCATTCCTAATGTGAGGGGTACGGAGATCCATTCCTTATGTGAGGGGTACGGAGATCCATTCCTTATGTGAGGGGTACGGAGATCCATTCCTTATGTGGGGGGTACGGAGATCCATTCCTTAAAGTTAATAATTTTACCTTTTACATACATTTTAAGGGCTTATGTACACAGGGGCAAGAAATGCACATCGACTGCAGTATAGGAGCTTCCCGTTGAGGGTAGATGACAGTATAGAGCCTGTGTTTTACCCGTGTGGCCTGCAATCCAAACCCACTTCAATTGCAGCTACACAGTGGTGACCGTGTCCTGTTTAGATACCGATAGGGAGAGCTAACACAGGAGGACTGGGCATATACACAGTGGTGGCCGTGTCCTCTATGGAAGCCTATAGGGAATGCAAACACAGGAGGACTGGGCATATACACAGTGGGGGCCGTGTCCTCTATGGAAGCCTATAGGGAATGCAAACACAGGAGGACTGGGCATATACACAGTGGGGGCCGTGTCCTCTATGGAAGCCTATAGGGAATGCAAACACAGGAGGACTGGGCATATACACAGTGGGGGCCGTGTCCTCTATGGAAGCCTATAGGGAATGCAAACACAGGAGGACTGGGCATATACACAGTGGGGGCCGTGTCCTCTATGGAAGCCTATAGGGAATGCAAACACAGGAGGACTGGGCATATACACAGTGGGGGCCGTGTCCTCTATGGAAGCCTATAGGGAATGCAAACACAGGAGGACTGGGCATATACACAGTGGGGGCCGTGTCCTCTATGGAAGCCTATAGGGAATGCAAACACAGGAGGACTGGGCATATACACAGTGGGGGCCGTGTCCTCTATGGAAGCCTATAGGGAATGCAAACACAGGAGGACTGGGCATATACACAGTGGGGGCCGTGTCCTCTATGGAAGCCTATAGGGAATGCAAACACAGGAGGACTGGGCATATACACAGTGGGGGCCGTGTCCTCTATGGAAGCCTATAGGGAATGCAAACACAGGAGGACTGGGCATATACACAGTGGGGGCCGTGTCCTCTATGGAAGCCTATAGGGAATGCAAACACAGGAGGACTGGGCATATACACAGTGGGGGCCGTGTCCTCTATGGAAGCCTATAGGGAATGCAAACACAGGAGGACTGGGCATATACACAGTGGGGGCCGTGTCCTCTATGGAAGCCTATAGGGAATGCAAACACAGGAGGACTGGGCATATACACAGTGGGGGCCGTGTCCTCTATGGAAGCCTATAGGGAATGCAAACACAGGAGGACTGGGCATATACACAGTGGGGGCCGTGTCCTCTATGGAAGCCTATAGGGAATGCAAACACAGGAGGACTGGGCATATACACAGTGGGGGCCGTGTCCTCTATGGAAGCCTATAGGGAATGCAAACACAGGAGGACTGGGCATATACACAGTGGTGGCCGTGTCCTCTATGGAAGCCTATAGGGAGAGCTAACACAGGGGAACAGGGAGGGTAGACAAGGGCGGCCATGTCTTCCATCCCTGATTTCTCCTTTACTTTCCTTGCTTGTTGCTCTGCCAAATTCCCTCCACCCCAATGCCTCTAGAAGACTTTCTGGCTGACCGACAGGAAGTATCCCACAGCATTTCCTGTCTGCTCCTCCTATGGTTCTCCAATCTACAGGGGTGACACAAGGATGAGCCGGATGCCACAAGTGGGCAATACCAATGCTGGAAAAAAAAAGTGTCCCACCTCTCAACACCCACCCACATTGATTGACATCCACATTACATTACTCCTCGCCTTACTCTAGCCCCATCTTATTTTGGACACATCAAGGGTGTAAGCAGCAGCGCTTGCGACCCCCAAATGAGGAAGAGTGTTATGCCCATTGCAGCCAAAGGAGTTGTGGGACTTGTGGTTCAGTACGTGTCCTGATGATGCCATCACTAGGGAAAGAGGAGGAAGGAAGCGATCAGATCGGTCATGTGACCAAGCTTTTAACATTGAAAAATAGGTAATTTAAAAAGTATTTTAAAGTTAATATTTAATGTCCGGTGACCGGGGGGGGGGA